AAGTACAGAGTATGAGCGGAAGAAGAAGAGAGGACGAAAAAAACAATTTCAAGAGAACGAAAGAAAAAAAAACAATTATCTGGAGAAAAGGTGACAGGAAGGAAAGTAAAGAAGAAATGTAAAAGAGAAACACGAAAGAAGCTAAAATGAAGAAAACACAAGGAGGCAACGCCAAAACAAACCATGTCGTTGTTATTATTTCTGATGAAAAAAGGTGACAGGAAGGAAAGTAAATGGGAAGAAATGTAAACTGGAGTGGTTAAAAGGACGTCAAAAGAGAAGACGAGAACTTTTGGAAAGAGAGGAGATGTAAAAACTGTACTAAGAAAGATAACTGCAAAATTGGACAGTGAAAAAGTATGCTAAAATCTGGAAGCAAAAAGACTTAAAAATTGAAAACACTTGTTTAACGAGAAAACACAAGGAGACTGCTAGAAACACGAAGAGACGCGTACGAACATTATGAAGATAGACTGAAAAAAACCACTGTCGCCGAAAATTTGTAAAAAAAAATAAAAAAACAAACCGAAACTCATCACAAAACAAAACTTTAAAAAAATTAACTGAAAATAGTGTCGGGTTCGATGCTCAGTTAGAACCTGACAAATTGGCAGTGAGAGGATTCCTCCCGTGGGTGTCGTCACTCCAAAGGGGTGAATTGAATGGCTCAGGAATTCTCAAAAAGAAACAATGCCAAGAATGGATGGGAGGAGGAGGATCATGGTTTGGGATAGGAAAACCGAATGAACCTGTTATTCTCAACAAAGACACTTATTGAATGGAAGAAACATCGTCAATTACATGATTTTTTTTTCTGGTTTTGTTTTCTATTCCTGCCCCAAAATAGTTGATACATTTACCAAAAAATAAGAAAAGAAAAAAATGAGAAAATATTAAATTACAAACACAGAAAGTTAAATAATTAAATTACCTGTTAAAATATGTAAACACATATTACCTGTTAAAAATATGTAAACACATATTACCTGTTAAAATATGTAAACACATATTACCTGTTAAAATATGTAAACACAGCAGGTACCATTTTAAAAATTTCAGTTTCAGGTTTTCTTTAACTAGCTCGCTTGAAGACAATTCACAACATTTCAAACTTACTGCTCCCAGGTCTAAACGTAACAGCAAGAAAATTATCCTAGGGCTTATAAACATAACATTTAATATGCGTTGCCAATAATCAAAAGAAAAAAAAAATGAAGGAAAATGAACAAATATAAATCGGGCAGAATTAGTAACATTCGATCAGCCCCAACTGCCGGGTACGTTTAAGAAATCAATCTAACAGCAATCACGACTAATTTGTCGAATAAAATAAACCCACTCTTCGCTTTTTGTCTTTTTGTTAACAAATAATTTATACACGACAAATAAAGGGATTAATACGTAGTAAAAACAAAGCGGTATTGCATACGATTTTTTAAAAAAATAATTTCACTCCAACCAAGCCACTAAGGCCATTAGGACGCTCATGATTACGAATCCCGAATCCCGTGACCCATTCGGGTCGTAAGGGCACCAAATGTGCTGCAGCCGCGGTGGAAATGGTGCTTCTTGGGTAGGACAGCCTGACGAAGATCAGGCTTGTTTCCCATTTATCTAAACAGGTGCGACGCAAGGCCAGTCTGTCCTGCTATTTCACGGTTTTCTATTTGAATTGCTGCTTACTGGGAAAGATAACCTGGCCGTGTGCAACCCTCTCCAGGCCGGTTTGAATTCAAAGATTTCTTTCTCCTAGACCGGTTGCCCCGCAAGGCTATAGAACCCAGTCTGTCTGCTATTTCACGGTTTTCTATTTGAATTGCTGTTTCCTGTGAAAGATAGCCTGACGGTGTCCAAACCTCTCGAGGCCGGTTTGAATTCAAAGATTTCCTTCTCCTAGGCCGGTTGCTATCCAAAGATATAGAACCCGGTCAGTCCTGCTATTTACCCATAGCTAGGAGGAGGATAAGAAAAGGATTCAAACCTTTCCCAAGGTTATTAACATGTAAGTGAGTGTAATGGATCCGAATGAAAACTCAGAGATTCCTCAATCCAAGCCGCTATCCCTTACTCTACTGCGCCTCCTACATATATCACTTAGTAACGCAAAGTGTTACTAAGTGTTAGAGAATATGAAAATAAAAACTATTAATGAGAGAGGACAATAAAAGAACAAGAATTAAGAAGACAGAACATAACGATTTGCATTGCATTTAAACTTTTAGACATCAACGTTGACTGGGAAGCAAGAAGCTGGAAGAGAATTTCACAAGCGGGAAACTGTTAGCATAAAACTTATAGTTACATCTAACAATTTCAGCTGTAAAATAAAGAGACCTAGCCGCCAATCTAGTACTGCGTTTAAATTCATAAAACCTAGGTAATATAACGGAAAGTTCACAAGATTTGCCGTTGAAGTATTTATAGAAAAGGCACAGGGTAGCTACATTACGGCGGTGTGAAACGGACTGAATCCGAGATGCCAGGTCAGGACCAATAACGTTGCAGATTCTTCTTCGGATTTCAATCAATTCATAAATATATAACAGGAGCACCAGACCAGACGTCACAGCAATATTCAAAGCAAGGACGGACGAAGGATATGCAAGATATTTTCTGGCGAGAAAAATTGACTAGTACGACATACGCTCGCTTTCAAACCAGCATATATATATATATATATATATATATATATATATATAGAGAGAGAGAGAGAGAGAGAAAGAGAGAGAGAGAAAGAGAGAGAGAGAGTCATCTAAAACAGACTATCACATCTCATCAGTGTGGCTAGATGTGCGATTGCTTCAAACTGGGATCGAAAGCCAACCGATTTGTCTCTCACCCCTAGACCATCAGCGCACTCAAGGGATAAAGAATTTTTAACGCATTATATACAAGATATAAGCATTATCGACTGCCAGAAGGCTCAAATCATAGCGAATATATATATATATATATTTTGTGTGTGTGTTTGTGTGTGTAAAAGGGAACCAACCTTTTAGATGCAGATTTAGCAACTGATTCAATATACTCTTTTCACTTCAGGTCAGCTGAAAACGTTAGTCCGAAAAAGTATAATGTGTCACTCTCCGGGAGTTTAGCATCAGCCATGGTGATAGAAGGCAAAAAGGATTCCATTAGATGACTAAAAGAGAGCGGTTTCATTGTTAAGGCGTAAAAATTAACAAGCCTTTCCTTGCTCCATTTAACAACAGATTGTAGGTCATTTGATCTCATCGAAACTAATGTAACAGAAAGTGGATTCGACGTACCAAATTCGAATCTGTTTCGCTTACTTCGTACTAACGCCCTTGCAAAAGACACATCCATTTGTTAAATAAATAACCGAATAGGCTTTGGGTGGCAAATAGTCATTTTTTATCATTTCACTTCAAGCAAGGAGATAATGGGCTACTGAAAAAATCTGAGAGTAAAACAAAAAAAAAAAAACATTATTAAGGAGAGAGGGCAATAAAAGAACAGGGTTTAAGAAGACGGGAGATAATGACTGACATTGCATTTAAATCTTTGAAGATCAAAGTTGGCTGGATGCAAGCAGCTGGAAAGTAAGAAGCTGGAAGAGAATTTCACAAGCGGGAAGTGCAAGAGAAGAAACCGGTTACATAGAACTTATGTTTGCATCTATCAATTTCAACTGTAATATAATGAGACCCAAGTGCCAATCTAGCACTGCGCTTAAACTCATAGAGTCGATGTATCAAACAGAAAATCTCATGAGGACAATTTCCATGAAAATATTTATGGAAAAGGCACTGGGTATCTATGTTATAGAGGTGGAAATGTGACCGAAAAACTCTGAATTCCAAATCAACCTGAAGAGCGACGTGCTCCGCCAGACGATCTCGTCTTAGACTAACCAACTGCTGTTACGGCTACAGTAGAATATCTACAAATTTACGGGATTAGTGAATCATGATTGTGAATGTAGCCTATCTAATGTCAGGTAAATCAGAGTTTTTGTACCTGAAAAAAAAGTCTTATTATCCCAGATGTACATTAGTTGAACAGTGTCTGATTCCAGATTAAATTCCACTCTACTTAATCTCTTCCTAGACTGTGCTTTGCGCATATACAAGCACAGGTGT